GGAACAGTTTCTCTGTCCAAAGGGCGCACGACATACACTTCTCCAGTGGAGCGTACTGATAACTGTGAGGCAGGATCACCGGACACAATTTACAAATCTACAGGCATCTTCACAGAATCTGCATCTGATGTGGCTAGCTGAATAATTACTGTGCCAGGAAGCGCATCTTCGTTAACTGGAAAAAAAAAAGATGAAATTTTATTACTTTACATACTAGAATAAATGTAAAAATAAGATTGTAGAGTTGTAGAAGAAACATACCAGATGCCTTGTAATTATTGTTTGAGAAGGCAGGAGGGTTGTCATTGTAGTCCTGGACTTGAATATGAACAATAGATCGAGTAGAATGCTTAGGATGACCATTATCACTAGCAATGATAGTTAGCTTGTAATGCTGCTCTTGTTTCTCTATCCAAATGTACTAGAGTTGATATCCATCCCATTGAAACTGAGGCTTAAACTTACAGCACTCTCCTTAGGAAAAATATTGAGAATAATTTTTACTATTTCCTCAAAGTCGGTGGCCGTTATCTTATGCCTGAACAGATAATACATGAAACACATTAAACATCTCATCTATAAGAATCAACTTTAAGTATTTTTAATTCAGTAAAACCTACTTATCATTTTGGACAGTTTCATTGTCTATTATGAGTTGGGCTAATTTGTTTTGGTCACTGTCACTGAGAGGAGAAGGGCATTTAGAGAGAGCTAATAAGTATCTCCCAGTACCTGACTTTCTTAAAACAGAGCGCATAACCTAAAATAAAATATATGAAAATGATATGAAAATGAATTTCAAGTTTTATGACATTTCCAAAGATTACAAGTAAAATAGATACCTCAACTTCTGAAGAATGGCCTGGAGAGGTATCTCTCAGAATGACTGTGGCCATTTTATTAATCAAATCACCTCAAAAGAAGGTTGTGCTTGCTCCGGCTCATGGGTAGGAAGATGACTTAATTCCTCAGCCAAGCTACTACTAGGTTCTGATACAACTGTGTTTCCTTCTCCCTCAATTAATTGAGGCTGGGTGGTAGTTGGATGCTAAGAGAAATAAAATTATAATAAGATTTTAGTTTGCACAGCTGTTTAGAACTGCAAAAGCATAATATGGTTTCAAGACAGAGTAAGATTATAGAATAATAACAGAATTACCTTAGTTGAAGTTGTATCAGGTTTCTCATTTTGAAGCCCATCGGTTAGTAATTTGGTTGAGACCGGCTGCTTCTTAGCTGGAAGATTCTTC